GAAGCCGGAGTAATAGTACCCGGAGAGAACCCACGCATGCACAGAGAGAACATGCAAACTCCATGCAGAAAGACCTGGGCCGGAAATTGAACCCGGAACCTTTGGATTTTGTGCTGGGATTTTCACAGCATTACATGTTTAAATCTAAATGGACTTCATGATCCTGTAATTGATTAATGAACTTTACTCTAGAACCATTCTGGACCAATCCCACACACTCAGATGCTGTAACATGTGATACATGTAAACAAATCCAGATTTATGAATTTACAAATCAACTTCCTGTTTTCATTTCTTTCATGGTATGAGTATAGCAACAGACAGAGTAGAAATAATATATGTATATTTAATTCTGACTTTGACTCACTTTGAAACTGTATTCACCGCAAAATCAGGTACCTTAAAGCTGGATTAAAAAAAAATTCATTCATACAGGGAAAAAAAAGTAACTTGGGAAGATCTCTTGAAGTAAAGTTAGAATAAAAAAGTAACATCTACATTATCTAATGCATCCAAACCCAAGATTATTTTTTTAATCTTGGCAAGAGCCAGAAACGTTGCACTAAAGTTTAATGTTTACAGTTGTCACGGTAGGGTGGAGGTTTGACAGGACGCAAATACAGACACTGAAGCTGAAGAGGTTTCTTAACAATTTAATAACAAAAAAGGGTAAAAGAAGCAAAAATCCAAAAAACGTAAATACACAAAATCCACAAAAACTGGGAACTAGGAATACTCAGAACAAGGGGGTAAAGAAATGACAAAATAGCAGCCACAGTGACCGAGCAGGAGGTGCAAATATGGAAGAGAAACAAAGACCAGGCTAATTAGCAGATTCCGAGCAGGTGTGGACGGAGGAATCTAGAAGGGAGCTAGGGAAAAGGGGACTGACACAAGAGGGCAACACAGGGCAAGCAAGAAAAACCTAAGAACTCAAATACATCCAGAAAACACCATAAAATAGGAATTAAACCAATAAAATTAGAAAACAAAGAAAAACATGGACCAAAGTGAAACTGAAAACTCAAAAAGAAAACTTAAACAGAACAAGACAGTGACAACAGCTTGTGGATGAATCATGTTTAGGTTTGCAGGTTGACCCAGTCAGGTTCTACCTGTTGGTAAAGTTTCCACAGAATGCAGAGAGGAGTTTAAACAGGTGTAAACAAAACAATACAGCAGACAATGAAGTCCAGGGAAGAAGCTGAAACTTTTTTTTTTTTACTCTAACAAACTACTATGAAGCACTACAGGGAAAAAAATGGACCTGTGTAATTAACATCTTCATTCCCTTTCAGAGAAGAATGGATTGGTTGGAAAAACCTATCTAGTTGGTTAAACCAATTTTAGTGAGATTGACCTATATAATGGTCAGAAACTGACCAAGCTGTTGGTTTCAGCTCAACCAAAAGAATTGGTTAACCAAACAAGCAATAAAAATGGAAACAGATGTGTGTAATCATTTTGGCAGTGGTGTCCGATGCAGGAGTTTGCCCAACTGCAGGATTGATGGTTCAATCCCCTCTCGGTGTAGTAAAACAATTTAACCAATATTTTGGTCAAAGTGACTGATATGTATTGGCTGATCGTTTCCCTCCTGGTTACTTTGACCTTTTTTGGGTTTTATGTTGTACATCTTTATTCACTGTATGTATCTATAGAATTGGTACATTTGTTTATTTGTCTGGTTTCTGGGCCAGACTGACACTCTGGTTCTCATTCAGGTTCTTCTTTTCCTCTTGTTTTAATGTATTTATTTCTGTTTTTACTTAGTTTCTATTGCTTTCCTAAACTTTTCTTTATTTGAAGCTATGGCTCAAAATAAGTGTTTTTGTGTTTTCATGATATTTTCTTGTGAATCTTCTTTGTTAAAAATATGTATACATTTCTACTGACTGTGACGTCAGTATCTTTCTTTAGGTGCTGAACTAGCTGTAGTTGTGGAAAAATATTCTGCTTCACGGTGGCGCCATCTGCTGGCTACAGTCGGTCAGTGTTTATACATGACAGAGAATTACTTCTGTATTTATCTGCTTCAGTTACATTGTTTTGTTTTACTGCAGCTTTATCTTAACTATAACAGCATTAAGCTTAATAATCTTAATCTATTGTCTATTAAGATGCATTTTTAAGATAAATTATGCTTTTTTTTCATCCCTATTTGTGTGATATATTATTCTGATGGAGGGATTTAGACTTTTCTCCTCCTCCTCTGTCTGTTTGTTTGTTTTTACATCCCGGATAGAAAATAAAAAGGAACAAAAAGAAAAATAAATAATTAATGAGCAGAAAACAGAGTCAAATCCTGTCCTCCTATTTTACTGGGATAAGTTTTAACCTTAAATGCATAAAATAAAACAAAGGCCATTCAGTTATCTACATATCCTTCCATATGATCGTCCTATAATCAAGGTTAAATTCAAAAAGCTCGGGATATGTATTTGTAAAAACATTTAGTGTTTCTATCAGATGATGCTTGCCTGTGAGTTTATGGACTACAATACAAACACATATTATTTTTAATGTGTGAAAAAGATGCAGAAAAAAATGACAAATAGATGAAGAAAATTATAATTTTTTTTCTATTTGTTATTTGCATGTCCAGTTAATGTATTTAATACACTAAAGCACATATGTCAAAGTCAAGGCTGGCGGGCCGGATTCGGCCCCCAAATTGTTTATCCATGGCCCCCTGGATGATATTTAATTACCATTAAAACCGGCCCACAGGCCATGGCTGCTTATATGCGCTGCTCTGACTTTGCAGGCTACGGTTGCATTCCTTTTATTTTGGCTTCAATCAGCCTCTGCTGACACCTGTAGTCTGCAGTCTTTTTCTATTCTTCAGTCCTTTTTGGTATTGCTCTGCTTTTTGTTTAATAAATTCCTTTTTTAAAGAACCTCTGAATGAATTCTGGGTCTGCTGCTGTGATTCATCAGAATTACGTTTCTTTTTGCAAGACATGATTTTTGTTTATTTTTATTTTATTTTATTTTATTTGACTATTTGAAAGCAGTGATCTGTAGAACCATAGAGCAGCACAGTAATGCATTTTCGGGTTATAATGCATGCACTTTCATTTATGTATTTATCTTAATAGTTTAGTTTATCAGTATAACAAAAGTTTATTAATAATATTGATATTAATATAAAAAAACAAAAAACAATGTGTTAGCTCTTGGTTCAATAGGCTACGTTCATTTTAATATGCTTTAATAAACATTCAACCAGTCTGGCCCTCGGCTTGTAGCAAAGTAGAAATTAGACAAAGCATAATTTTAGTTAAAAAAGTGCTTCTTGGAAGAAGCACTTATTCTGAAATCCATTATTTATTCTCATAATGTTAGGACCAGGCTCGGACTGGGAACGATTCGTGAAAATAGAAGAAAAATAAATCTCTAAATCTCTAGCACTAATACTCCGTTGTATAATAGAATAGAATAGAGTTTGGTTTCTGGTGCTATTAAATCATTTAATCAAATCAGGGACAAGAGCAACATTCCTCACAAAGATCTTTATAAATATCTTGAAATTTGGCATTTTATGGATTCATTATTTCGGTCTAATGCATTCCGTAGGGAACTGACAGACTTAGAAAATGTTCTGGTTTCACCCAACTATCCAAAGGGTCTGATTTCTAAATTCTATGCACTCTCACTCAGCTCAGTGCCATCAAGCTTTGACTCTGTCAAGCGGCTCTGGGAGCGTGATCTAGATATGCAGTTCAATCCTTCAGATTGGCTTAAGATCTGCAATGAAACCTTTCATCAATGCACTTCTATTTCTATACAAGAACAGAATTTAAACTTTTCTATACTTCCTACTATACCACTGTTCATCTTCAGAGAATGTTCCCCGACCGTTCCAATCTGTGTTGAAAATGTTTTAGGCATAGAGGTACTTTTTTTCCATCTACTCTGGTCATGTGATTTATTAAGGACCTTTTGGAGGGAAGTTTATTTGGTGATTGAAAAGGTTTAGGGGGTTCGCTTCTTTTTGTCTCCTGGGTTTTATCTTTTAAATGTCTCCCCTAATCCCATGGGTGCACACTCTAAATCCTTGTTTACAATTCTTCAATTTCTTGCCAAGAAATGTATTTTGTTACAATGGACGTCTCCTTCTGCTCCCACAGTAAATATGTGGTTCACACAGATATCTGTTATTCTTCCTGACCCACAATCTCAATCACAACTCAGACATTTGGGGTCCCTAGGATTCTATTTTTTTATTATTTTGTTTATAGCACTATTTATGTTTGCTTGCTTCTGTTTCTCCTATCTTGATGGCTAAAGGGTGATGTGGACGTTAGAGGATTGACTCCTTGTTCCTTGTTCATGTGGGGTATATTTTTCCCCTCTCTTTTAATGCATGTATGTGTAAGGCGGCACAGTTTTGGTCTTTGTATGTAACAAATCTAAAATGAATAAAAATAATAATAAAAAATGAACAGAATAGAATAGCAATTGTCACTCAGAGGAAAATATTACTACATAAAGGGCAGTTTAATGCTTCTTAACTGCACTTTAGTATAAAATTGGAAAGATCTAGCAACCAAAAAACGATTTAGTTTATTTTTCATCCTACAGGTGTGACTAAATGAATGCAGATTGTTTTAAATTGTTTTTTCCTTTAGTAACTGGTAAACTGGGCATTTATTTTCACCTCTATTGTCCAAACTGTTCCTATTTGGTGTTTTAATGGTTTCTTTATTTGAATTGGAGATTTTTAAAAGCCTTCCTTACCCGCAGGAATAAGGAGCTAAATCTGCCCAGATTAACTCCAGATTAAAGACTCATTTTTTAAACTGGCTTTAAATTCTTGTTTTATGCTTATGATTTTAGTCTTTTTTATTTTTTGTAATGTTTTTATGTTTCTGTGAAGCCCCTGGCGTTGTTGTAAAGTGCTATATAGATAAACTTTGATGAGGCTGTTCTCTGTGGGGATGATTGTGGCGTATGTGTGTGTGCGTGGGGCTGTGGATCTTCTGTCTGTGGGAGTGGTCTCCTGCAGGTCACATGGTACGGGCCTTTGTTGATGTGATCCGGGGGAGAAAGACCAGGAGCCCAGAGAAAAAGGATAGAAAAGTCCCGTTTCTGCCCACCGATCGTTTCCGTCCAGGCTTCCCCGGCGCCCAGACGCTCCCGCCCGGCCTGGATGCTGCAGCTGCGGCCCCTCCGGAGCTCCACCTGGGTCTGTTGTTCCGCGGCGCCCCGCGGTCGCTTCTTGTGCCCGCCGGTTTGAGCAGCGGGGGCTGGGGGATGGAGGCTGTGTCCGGGCTGTGAGGTGTGGGGGTCGGTGTGTGTGCAGCCCCCCCTCCAGGCCCTCTGCTGCTTTGTTGTCCCTGGCTGTGCTTTAAAGCCCTCCTCCAGGCTTCCTGCAGCCTGCTTCTCCTGGAAACCCAGAGGACCTTTAGGGAAACGAATGGACACAAAGAGGATCTGAGGATTTCATTTAGACGCTGATCTTTTCTTCTTTTTGAAGAACATTCCTTCTTAACCTTTGAAACCAGTTTCTCTCAAACCTTCCCATTCATCCTTCAGTGGATCTCTCCTTACTCCTCCCTCTATCCGTCCATCATGGCTCCTGTGCTCCGGCTCTCCTGGTTCTGCTGCCTGCTGCTTCTGTTGGGTCTCCCCGCAGCTCGGAGCTCGTTCCCCCGGAGCGGTGGCGGCGGAAGCGCGGAATGCGGCCCCGGAAAGACCGCGGATTGTCCAGGTGAGACCCCCACCTCCACACACACCTGAGGCTGCAGGTCAGAGGTCACTGGATGCTGCCTTATTGTTGCTGTTTCCCGATCACGTGAGCCAGCTGTAGTCATCCCCCGGTTGTCATGACAACCAAGGCAGGTTCTGTTGTGTTTGTGGGGGACAGCAGCAGGTCAGTGATGCAGTCAGAGCCAGCAGATGTGTGTGACCGCTCCTCAGTTCAGGCCGGAGATCTGTCAGACCAGCATTCCCCATCAGACCAGCATACCCAATTAGACCAGCATTCCCCATCAGACCAGCATTCCCCATCAGACCAGCATTCCCCATCAGACCATCATTCCCTATCAGACCAGCATTCCCTATCAGACCAGCATACCCCATTAGACCAGCATTCCCCATCAGACCAGCATTCCCCATCAGACCAGCATACCCCATTAGACCAGCATACCCCATTAGACCAGCATTCCCCATCAGACCAGCATTCCCCATCAGACCAGCATACCCCATTAGACCAGCATTCCCCATCAGACCAGCATTCCCCATCAGACCAGCATTCCCTATCAGACCAGCATTCCCTATCAGACCAGCATTCCCTATCAGACCAGCATACCCCATTAGACCAGCATTCCCCATCAGACCAGCATTCCCCATCAGACCAGCATACCCCATTAGACCAGCATTCCCCATCAGACCAGCATTCCCCATCAGACCAGCATTCCCCATCAGACCAGCATACCCTATCAGACCAGCATACCCTATCAGACCAGCATTCCCAATTAGACCAGCATACCCCATCAGACCAGCATTCCCCATCAGACCAGCATACCCTATCAGATCAGCATACCCAATTAGACCAGCATACCTCACCAGACCAGCATACCCAATTAGACCAGCATACCCCATCAGATCAGCATACCCAATTAGACCAGCATACCTCACCAGACCAGCATACCCCATCAGATCAGCATACCCAATTAGACCAGCATTCCTCACCAGACCAGCATACCCAATTAGACCAGCATACCCCATCAGATTAGCATACCCAATTAGACCAGCATTCCTCACCAGACCAGCTACCCCATCAGATCAGCATACCCAATTAGACCAGCATACCTCACCAGACCAGCATACCCCATCAGATCAGCATACCCAATTAGACCAGCATACCCCATCAGATCAGCATACCCAATTAGACCAGCATTCCTCACCAGACCAGCATACCCAATTAGACCAGCATACCCCATCAGATCAGTATACCCAATTAGACCAGCATACCTCACCAGACCAGCATACCCCATCAGATCAGCATACCCAATTAGACCAGCATTCCTCACCAGACCAGCATACCCAATTAGACCAGCATTCCCCATCAGACCAGCATTCCCCATCAGACCAGCATTCCCCATCAGACCAGCATTCCCTATCAGACCAGCATTCCCTATCAGACCAGCATACCCCATTAGACCAGCATTCCCCATCAGACCAGCATTCCCCATCAGACCAGCATACCCCATTAGACCAGCATTCCCCATCAGACCAGCATTCCCTATCAGACCAGCATTCCCTATCAGACCAGCATTCCCTATCAGACCAGCATACCCCATTAGACCAGCATTCCCCATCAGACCAGCATTCCCCATCAGACCAGCATTCCCCATCAGACCAGCATTCCCTATCAGACCAGCATTCCCTATCAGACCAGCATACCCCATTAGACCAGCATTCCCCATCAGACCAGCATTCCCCATCAGACCAGCATTCCCTATCAGACCAGCATACCCTATCAGACCAGCATACCCAATTAGACCAGCATACCCCATCAGACCAGCATTCCCCATCAGACCAGCATACCCTATCAGATCAGCATACCCCATCAGATCAGCATACCCCATCAGATCAGCATACCCCATTAGACCAGCATACCCCATCAGATCAGCATACCCAATTAGACCAGCATACCCCATCAGATCAGCATACCCAATTAGACCAGCATACCTCACCAGACCAGCATACCCCATCAGACCAGCATACCCAATTAGACCAGCATACCCCATTAGACCGGCATACCCCATCAGATCAGTATACCCAATTAGACCAGCATACCCCATCAGATCAGCATACCCAATTAGACCAGCATACCTCACCAGACCAGCATACCCCATCAGATCAGCATACCCAATTAGACCAGCATTCCTCACCAGACCAGCATACCCAATTAGACCAGCATACCCCATCAGATTAGCATACCCAATTAGACCAGCATTCCTCACCAGACCAGCATACCCAATTAGACCAGCATACCCCATCAGATCAGCATACCCAATTAGACCAGCATTCCTCACCAGACCAGCATACCCAATTAGACCAGCATACCCCATCAGATCAGCATACCCAATTAGACCAGCATTCCTCACCAGACCAGCATACCCAATTAGACCAGCATACCCCATCAGATCAGCATACCCAATTAGACCAGCATTCCTCACCAGACCAGCATACCTCACCAGACCAGCATACCCCATCAGATCAGCATACCCAATTAGACCAGCATTCCTCACCAGACCAGCATACCCAATTAGACCAGCATACCCCATCAGATTAGCATACCCAATTAGACCAGCATTCCTCACCAGACCAGCATACCCAATTAGACCAGCATACCCCATCAGATCAGCATACCCAATTAGACCAGCATTCCTCACCAGACCAGCATACCCAATTAGACCAGCATACCCCATCAGATTAGCATACCCAATTAGACCAGCATTCCTCACCAGACCAGCATACCCAATTAGACCAGCATACCCCATCAGATCAGCATACCCAATTAGACCAGCATTCCTCACCAGACCAGCATACCCAATTAGACCAGCATACCCCATCAGATCAGCATACCCAATTAGACCAGCATTCCTCACCAGACCAGCATACCCAATTAGACCAGCATACCCCATCAGATTAGCATACCCAATTAGACCAGCATTCCTCACCAGACCAGCATACCCCATCAGATCAGCATACCCCATCAGATTAGCATACCCAATTAGACCAGCATACCCCATCAGATCAGCATACCCCATCAGATTAGCATACCCAATTAGACCAGCATACCCCATCAGATCAGCATACCCCATCAGATCAGCATACCCCATCAGATTAGCATACCCCATCAGACCAGCATACCCAATTAGACCAGCATACCCCATCAGATTAGCATACCCCTGACTGGACCGGAACAAAACGAGCCATCAGCTCCAGGGCTGGTCCGGGTCTGTAGCCGGCCGGGGACGGAGTGACCGAACCTGACCCGGTGATGGCCCAGTAAGGCTGATTTTGTAATCCCCCCCCCCCCCCGACGCTTTTTAGGTATGAAAAGTAGGACATGTCTGGGAAGAAGAGGACGTCTGGTCATCCTAGTTTATCCCTTTAGCTTTGTATGTAAAATAGGCTTTAAACCACCTCAACGGACGTGTACCGCTTCAGACATGTACATAAAAACTATTTAGTTACTTAGTTGTTGGGGTTTTTTGACTCATATGTCGTCTGTCAGCATGCCCCAGCTCATCTGTGGCTACAGGGTAGCTTTCCACCATCGTGTAGGTATATTTTAACAAAAGAAATTTGTGTTTTTTTTTTCATAACTAAAGAGATACCCACCCATCAAGGTAGGTTAAAGTCTATTTTCCATGCAAACCTGAAGGGATAAACATAAATCTGAGATCTTGCGCATGTGTATTGACTGTGGGTATGCTGGTCTGATGGGGTACGCTCATCTGACAGAACACCGGCTCTATTCTGGGTTTAATTACAGACTGGGAGGAACTGGGCGAGGCCGGACAGTTTTCTGTGACAGATTCATCAAACCGCAGCGCTGCACGCTCAGATTGATGGCTGCATGGCTGCAAACAGACAAGCGGGGCTCACACAGGCCCTCACAGCTTCATCCGACTGAACAGAGTGAAGGACAGGGAGTTAGACTAAAGATGTAGGGAGAAACGCTCTAATTTAGTAGGAGGAAGATCGGTGGTCTTCATCCAATCAGCATTTATTGACCATTGCATAAGAGAACAAAAGCACTCCTGTTTATGCCAGTGCTGCCTGTGAAGATTCAAGAGGCCTGGAAATCCTCAGCTTGGCTCTAATAAACACTATTTTATTGATGCTGCAGACTAACCCTTGAACTTAGGGCAGAGTTCCTTCCTTATCTGTATCTGGCTCCTGCTGGCTTCTGAAAACACTGCCCCTTAGAGAAGGTACAACACAAAGGTCTCGGTTATAAACCTGGCCTTGAAGCTGCAGCATGAAAGGTGAATAATATTTAAAGCTGTACAGAAACCAGGCTGTCTGCATGCATGTTGCAGTTAATGCAGATATGCCCTCGCCTCTTCTGCAGACACTCTGATGCACATCTCCAAAATTGTAGGTGACCGCAGACAGTGCTGCAGACAGGAGTCGTCTGAAGATGGACCAGCTAGAACAGGGGTCGACAACCTGTGGCCCTGGAGCCGCATGAGCCCTTGTGGCTCCCTGGAGCTTTTTCAAAACTTTTTTGAAAATCGATTTTTTTTTTTTTTATATATGGTGTGCAGGAGGTCAAACAAAAATTAATTTATGTTTTCCAATGCTGTAAACATTTGTATTATAAATAAATTTAAATTAATTGCGTCATAGCCATAGAGATCATTGGTCATAACTTGGAACCATCGTGGAGCGGTGCCAGGAAAACAAAGTGGTGGGTCTGTCTCGGAATATGAATCCCAAAGGGAAAAAGTAAAATAGTTGATAAGAAATGAGGATTTAAATAGACCAAATCATTTGTTTTTATTATCAATGCAGAAGGATTGCCTGCATTTTTGCTTTGTAATGAGAGGGTGTCAAAAAATAAAAATAAAAATTTGGAAAGGCATTTCCAGGGAAGGCTAAATCTGCAGCCCACCACCAAGCTGGGAGTGAGAGAAAAAGTGCGATTGCAGGATAAATTAGAGGAGCGCAAAGATAGGTTTAAGAAGT